ATGTAAAAGATACATTAAGCACAGGCCTAGCTCATAGTAGGGGCTCAGTAAATGTTGACTTCCTTTCCCTCCGTCTCAGGGCCTGACAGAGGGAAGTCGAGGGGGTTTCGTCGGGAAATAGGTTATGAGACCATAGAGTGTGAGAGCCAGAAGCAACCTGTAGAGATGAGGGTGTGGAGGACAGAATTAGGTGTCCTGTTGAGCTCACACGGCTCAGAGTGCACACAGTAGGGACTCCCAGCATGGAAGCCATGTTCTGTTTGGCTGGGTCAGAGATGACGTCTCTTTCCCCGTGTCAATGAACAATTTCCGTCCCCCTTTCCCTGTTTCTTATAGAACGCTTCCGCAAACCTTTCACTTGCCCTCTTCACTCTGGCCTTGCCAGCTCAGTCCTTTTCTTATCGAATCCTATTCTTATTTTCATGTCTCCCTCCTGTTTCTCCTTCATGACCATCCTCATTCCTACACGCGAGCCCTCATACCAGGCTATGCAGACCACTGGAAGGCTTGCCTCCTGGGACTAATCACAGGGCTTGCCTCCTTTGTCATGGCATCCTTGATAGTCACCAGTCATGTATCCTTTCAGGTGGTGGCATGTGGACTAAGACCAGGGACTTCCCTCCTGATAAGGACCACCCATCACAAGAGCTTGGGGAGATTCCACGCCACCTGAGTGAAGACATTGTCCAGATCTCTCCATGTGCAGAAGCTGAAGAACCGGACGGCAGGTTACACAGACACCAGAAGAATGTCATTGGGCTTCGACGGCACTACTGCCACCAATGTGGGAAGAGTTTTGCCCAGAGTTCAGGCCTGACTAAGCACAGGCGAATCCACACTGGGGAGAAGCCCTATGAGTGTGAAGACTGTGGGAAGACCTTCATCGGGAGCTCTGCCCTTGTCATTCACCAGCGCGTCCACACTGGTGAAAAGCCCTATGAGTGTGACGAATGTGGTAAGGTCTTCAGTCACAGTTCCAACCTCATCAAGCACCAGAGAACCCACACGGGGGAGAAGCCCTATGAGTGTGAGGATTGTGGGAAGACCTTCAGTCAGAGCTGCAGCCTCCTCGAACATCATAAAATCCACACCGGGGAGAAGCCCTACCAGTGCAACATGTGCGGAAAAACCTTTAGGCGGAATTCCCACCTCCTGAGACATCAGAGGATCCATAGTGGGGAGAAAAGCGTGCAGGATCTTGAACACAGAGAGAGCTGGCAGAGTCAGGGTAGACTAGAAAGCCAGTGGGGAGATGTGGAAGCTCCCGTATTATATAAATGTAATGACTGTGACAGGAGCTTCGGTCGGAGCAGTAGCCTGACTGAACACCAGAAAATCCACACGGGTGAGAAACCCTATCAGTGTGATGCATGTGGAAAAGGCTTCACCCGGACGTCATACCTAGTTCAGCATCAGAGAAGCCATGTTGGGAAAAGAACACTATCACAGTGACTCATGGTGTGGGTGCCAGAGTGGGTACTCATTCATCATGGAACTGGAGCCACCGGGAGCTCTTCCTGACTACAGAATTATTGAGGGGCCTTTGTCACTAAAAACCTTCCAGTGTTGGAAATATACAGTCTGGCTGAAACAAATTATCTTCCAGATTCTAGAAGGTGATTGGAAAAACGTGTTTGATAAGACTCTCTAGGAGAGAAGCAGTTGGTCCAAAAATGCTTTGTTCTTAACCTGTTGAGCTCAAATGGACTTCCAGTCTGGCTACTCCCCTGTAGCCAGTATTTGATCACAGGTAGACAGCTTGTTTATGGAGCTGGGCCTCGAAACATGGATTTTGTCTGTCATGAATCTCCCTTGACTTGGTCAGATGCCTGAGATCTTGCACCCCCACAGTGCCTTGGCTATGAAAAACTCAAACTCAATGCTGACTCATAGTGACTCTATTGGACCGAGTAGAACTACTCCTGTGAATTTTTGAGACTAACCCTTTACAGGAGTAGAAAGCCCCATTTTTCTCCTGAAGAGCTTCTGGTGGTTTCAAACTGCTGATCTTGCAGTTAGTGGTTAGTGCCCAAGGCATAACCACTACACTAACAGGGCTCCTGGTGCCTTGGTTATAGGTGCTCATAAATTCTTAGGAAGTGTACCAATGAGATTACCTTTAAAGCTCTGAAAAGCGAATGTCTAGATTAGTGAGAAATTTCTAATTAAATATATAACTTTGAGGGTTTAGATTCTGGCTTCGTGTGTTGCCATGTACATAGGATTAGCAGAGCTGGAGTGGGAAGTCCGTACCTCGTCATCGCCGTGGTACTGGCAGTAAGAACGCCTTCCAAAGCTTCGTGGTCATGAATGCTGTCTGCATGGAGCTTGACTCTTCAGTTTACATTAATTATGGTAACTCACACGAATATTGCTACGCTTGGAGGAAAATGTTCACATTCAGTAGTAGTAAAAATCTGTTTATCAAGTTCTATGAAAGTGAAACCGTTTTGATAAACTTTTGTAATGCTTGTTGGAGCTCCACTGCTCGACAGCTTTTTTCTTACCACCTAGTTACCCCAGAGGTACCCTGATGGCAGTTGATTAAGCCTAGAGCTGCTAACTGACATGTCAGTGGGTCGGACTCGCCAACCACTCTGCAGGTGCAAAATGAAGTAGGCCACTTCCATAAAGCGTATGGCCTTGGAAGCCCTGGTGAGCAGTTCGACTCTGTCTTATGGATTCTTAGGAGTTGGAATGGATAGCAGTAGGTTAGCTTTCATGATCGTGGACCTAACCAAGTGCCCAGATGTTATCCTTCACCTTCTCCCCTCCCCTTATAGCAGACTTTGAGTCAAGGCTTATGTTAGCTAATTACAAACTTCTCCAGGTCAAGAGGATTCATACCAAATGTAACAAGTGTCATTCATGGTTTCAAGACTTCTCTGAGTTGGAGATAGAAAGATAGACTTAGAGCCACAAGTATAAGTGCTAGGAGAACATGTATCTATTCAGAGGCACATTGGAAATCCTTAGTATCTGATCAAAGTATTCTATAATAGCCAAAGTATCAGATTCTCGAGTTAAGACTTGATGCTGGGAGTTCATCACAAGAAGTAAAAATTCTTTGTTTTCACCCATACCACCTTTGAGTCTTGGGTCTGCTCCCAAGGTGCTTCCAGCATTGCTGAGTTTTACCAGGGATGACGGGCTTCTGTAACTGATGAAATCCTGGAGATTTGGGTCAGTCGCTACCTCAGTGTTCTGGCATAGTCTCAAACATGCTCTGAATGCCTGCTCTGATCGCCAGAGGTGATTAGGGACATTTTCCAAACCGTAGGGTTTTTCCTCGGTAAAGCCCCCGTGATCTAACATTCACTACCATGTAACATCAACCTAATTTTAAACCTTTCCCCACTTAATTTTATCTAGGCTTTACTTTTTCTCCTTAAATAACACCCTTTGTTATGTCCATGGGAGGTAGCCATGTTTCTTTTCTTTCCTTGGTCTTTATTTTTCCTAATTATTGCTAATATTTCTGGCTGTATATGCTCAGACTCATTACAAACTAGTTACTGTGTTCATTTTTCTTACTTTAGATGTGTGTGAAAGCCTTTTATAAAGCAGGGAGTGTTAGAAATATGTATAAATTATTGAGATTAACAAAGGACTACTGTGCCTCCTGTCACACTTTCTGCTCCTTCAAACCAGAAAGACCTCTGCAGAGGGGGGCATTTTGTAGGAAAATAATGATTGAGTGCTCACTATGCTAGGCAGGGGAAAGGCCAAAAAAACGATTTGTGCAAGGGGGCTTCAAGCTTGTATTGTCTTTCAATTCCATTTTTCCATAAACTTTAAAAAACCCTCGTGTATACAAGCGAGTATATGTGTATTCTCGGGTTGGGGATTTCAGTGTAACAAATACCTGCCGTAATAAGGCAATACAATAATAAATACCTTGCAAGCAGTAAACTGAGGGCCCTATAAGCACAGAGAAGGAAAAAGTTAACTTTCCCGTGGGAGAGCAATGATGACTATATGATGTTAGGGATTGAATTGTGTCCCCCCAAAATATGTGTTGTAAACGTCTATACCTGTGGATGTAATCTCATTTGGGAAAAGGGTTTTCTTTATTTTGTTAACGAGGCTATATCCGTGTGTAGTATGTGTTTTAAGCCAATCACCTCAAGACAAAATGAGCAGATGAGGCACAGAGCGCAGGCAGAGGTGGGGGAACAGACACAGTGTTCTCCATGACCGTTGCCATGGGACCCAGGAACAGAAGCTGAGAAGAGACAAGGAACTTACCCCGAGTCGACAGCAAAAGCCCAAAGCTGACACCCTGAACTTGGATCTTCAGCCTCCTGAACTGTGAGACAATAAACTTCTGTTTATGAAAGCCACCCACTTGTGGTTACTTCTGTTACAGCAGCTCTAAGTCTCTGAGCCACGTGGACAAGGCGGCGTATGAAAGAGCTCAAATGGCTAACGGAGTTTGTCCAAGGTAGTGAAAGTCAAATTTAGTTTGAAGAGGTGGGTAGATTACAGGGGTCTTCACTGCCAGAGCAAAGAGTTAGGTAAGCTTTATTCTATAAGCAACGGAGAGCCACTGACATATTTTGATCAAAGGGTTAGCTAGGAACTTTTTTCTAGCGTATTGCGTAATTCTGTAATTTCAACGAAAACAAAAATATGGTTTCCTGATAGGCACTTAGCCAACGTACTTTTGTATCCAACAAAGGGGTTTGTAAATGAGTGAATTATGAAAATGGATTTATTTCTAGTGTTTTAAAAAAGATCGTTTATTTTTTTCCCCAGCTGAAATGATCTACAATAAGATAAGCTTGGTTAAAGAGTGGAATAAAATTTTTCATTCATCAAATTCTTTTAATGAATTGTAGTATCAACAAGTTAGCCATTTGATTTCATTTCCCCAATTGAATGATACAGAAATCTCTTACTTCTTTTTCTCCCCTCATAAGTGGTTATAGCATGTTTTTTTTTTCTACAGCAGTAGGATCAGTGGCTATAATGAAGAGAAATTTTCACCTATGGCTCTCCTAGATTTATTCTCAATTTTGGTAAAGATTTCTACTCATAATTGTGTGAGATTTGCTGCCTTAATTAGTGTGAAAAATAGTAAGAGTGATAGCTTGCTTCACAGAGTTGTGCGGATTATCAACAAATACTCTAAAAATGTGAACAATTGAGCATGGAGATTAGGTACTTTTTAACAGAAAGTCTAATATATTGGCAATACAGTAGTCTAATAATAAAGATGATACTTTTAAAACTTGTTCTGTGGCGACATGGCAGTCCTGACTGTCCTATCTACTGATCTCTCCGATCATCCCCTTCAGTCATGATGACAGCTCTAACCACTAGGTCACACATGCAGCCCTTTGATTAGCACTCCATGCACGTGTGACACCACTCACATTCAGCCATATCAAGAAGAGTCGCACAGTGTCACCATATTCAAGGATATTATCCAGAGAGTGGTGGTTTCATTTGTTTGTAAAAATGTATTTATGGCTGGTGAGTAACGGCAATTGTGAGGGAGAAGATTGGCTCTTTTATTGCAAAAGTTTGCTGACTCCTTCACTAGGTAATCTCAGGCTACTTTGTCTTAAAATGCTTTTGAGTCATTATTTTGCTTTTCCGAATGAAATTGGCTCTGGTGGATTTAAATGAGACTTTTCACCCCTGTATGTATAGTATCTGTTTTGTACAGAAATATCTCACAACTAATTTACTGCAAACTTAACCTATGATCTCCTCTTGCTTTTTGTTTTGTTTTTAGTTGCTTTATTAGGGGCTCATACAACTGTTATCACAATCCATACACACATCATTTGTGTAAAGCACATTTGTACATTCATTGCCCTCATCATTCTCCAAATATTTGCTCTCCACTTAAGCCCCTGGCATCAGAATTTCCTCTTGTTATTAGATGTATGTTTTTGGCTCTGCATCCACGCCTGTGTCTCACTTGGTTTCCAGTGTCAGGAACTGCTTCTTTACAGTAGCAACCTAAAACTCTGGAATTCAGACATGGCACATTTCCTCCTCCCTTTTCACTATTATTTTAACCCTTGTGATGTGTATCTTCATTTGTAGTTATGTACAAGTATTTTTCTATGAGGAATTTGTCCCCATCCAAATACACTGGCACACCTATCCAAGTCCCTATTGTTATTTACCAATTTTTAAGTCTTGGTGTAATTGGTTATTCTCAAAGTTCTACAGGAGGGGGCAGGGAGTGGTGGTGGTGGTGGGGAATCTGACCAATCCTAATGTAAATTATGTAACAGTAATAAATCACATGGCTATTCCCCTGGCCTAGTGATTTCATGAACAAATGGAAATACACTGCCTGATCTCCAAGCTGAAAATAACTAGTTTTGGATATGAATTAAAGCATTATAACTTTAAAGCATCTTCCCCTCTTTTGATGCATGCACTCTACCCTCAATTCTGCCCCTCACCAATGGGGCCCTATCTCTGATGGAAGAAGACACATTCATGCCTCATTGACTTTGAGCTTGAGCTTGTGAGCAACTTGGGCCAATGGATTGCAAGCAAAAATGATAATGGGCAACAAAAAAAAAAGAAAAAAAGAAAATGGGCTAGTTCTAAACAAACATTGCAAAAGCTTGATGTTTCCACTAACCTTGAGCTTGTGCCCAAGTAATGCTTATCCTCTAATCTATATCCAGGAATGAGAATAACCAGTAGATCAGGTCTGAGCCTAAGTGGAAGCTTGGAAACCAACCCAGCTGAACCCAGCAAAGCTTTCTAGAGGCACAACAACCTAAATGTAGTCATCATGAGAAAACATAGGTTTGGGCAGAGCTCTCTCTCTCTCCCCCTGCTCTCTTTCTCTACTACACTCTTTGTCTCTTTGTCTGCCTACGCTGTTGGTGTTACACTCAACTGGTAGGTTCCACTAATGGTTGGCTGATGCATCTCGTTTTTGATGTCTTAGGGTGA